CTTTGACTTTCATCAAAAAGTATTTTAAGTCCTCATTGCTTCCAGAAGCAGTGGTGAATCATGTGCATATTGCAGGTTGTTGATGAGGCTTACTCCAATTCTGGTGCCACATTTTCTTAATATAATTCAGTTTCTCAGATTATTGCTCAGCATACAGATTGGGTAGTTATGGTGAAAGAGTACACTCTCATTCGTAGCACTAAGACCATATTTTCCAACTACTGATCCTTCTTCTTTGCTTCCAACTTATGTATTGGAATACAATAAGTATGATAATCAACAGTAATTAGCAGTGCATCTTGAGTGTATGTTTGATCAATTTCAGACTGAAGAAGTTGGTACAATCCTTCAATTTCATCATCACTCTCTTTAGTGGTTGGTGTGAAAATTTTAATAATAGTAGTGTTAACTTGTCTTCCTTGTAGGGGTATGGATATTATCCTATAACAGACAGCATGGTGCTACAAGATAAACCTGTAAATGTTCTTTTTAATAATGAATGTGATGCCATTTTACTTGAATTTGTCATTCCTGACATAGTAAACCATATGATTGTCCACTTCAAAATGACCAGTTCAGCTCACTAATGTATAGGCTATTGATCTTTATACATTTGATTTCATTTTGACAACTTCCAATTTTCCTTGGTTCATACGCCATACATTCCACATTTTATTTATTAATGGATGTTTGCAACTGTTCCTTTTCATTTTCAGTTGTGCCCCATGAGCCAGTGAAGATCCAGAAAGTTGTGTTCCATTCATTTTGGTCAATTCTACTTTGAGGAGGCAGCTCTCCTTCATTCATATTTTAACTGTATTTCAACATGAGGGCCTCATCTTCCCACACAATATCAAACAACATTCTGCTGCTATTCATACGGTTTTCAGTAGCTAACCATTCATAAGCCATCTGCCTCTCCTTCTTTTTGTCTGTCTCAGTCTGGAAGCTCCACTAAAATCTGTTAACTATGAGCGGCCCTGCTGGTCTTTAAAATATATCATCAGAGCAACACCTGGGTTCACGCTGTGTGCTAATGCACTGACCTGCAATGCCATTTTGAAACACAGTCAGTGATTCAAGCTTACCAGCTGCTCCTTGGAAACCTTATACAGGGTCGCTATGAGTTGGAACCAACTCAATGGTACTTAACAACAAAAACAATAACAACACACAAGCCACCACAACAAACTGAGAGATGAGTGATGGTTTAAATGTTGTTTTGTTGTTGTTGTTAAGTGCTATCAAGATCATTCTGACTCATAGAAACCCTGTGTAGGGTTTCCAAGACTGTATATCTTTGTGGGAACAGAGAGTTTCATCTTTTTCCCACAGAGCAGCTGGTAGACTTGAACCATTGACCTTGAGATCCACAGCCCATTGCTTATCATATAGAGCCACTGTGCCCCCCTAAGATGTTGTAGGAATTTGTTTTTATTATTAAGGGCCTTGAGATTTATGCAGCCCAAGTTTTGGAGGTTAGAGATTAAAATATTTCAGACATGCTGTTGTTAAGTGCAGTAAAGTAGGTTTCAACTCATAGTGACCCTGTATAGGGCTTCTGAGGAGCGGTTGGTGAGTTTGAACTGACAACCTTGCTATTCAAACCAACATTGTGGTCCAGTGTATTATCCTACAGCGATGCACCAGGATAATCACTTATTAAAGAATCAAAAGGGAAAATAAATTTACTTGTGTATTTAGATAGGTTCACAAAGAACATTGTTTCAACTTCAGGAGTTTCTCCTGAGTTCTTTATTTCACTAACTAACTTTATTTCACTAATATCAAAACTTTTCTCTAGTAGTTCTCAAAGTTTCCACATGAAAAACAAAAGTGTATCTGAAATAAGAAGCCAAAAGAGAAACATCATGGGTAATTTCCAGTTTATTTGTAGTTATTCCTGAGTCCGAATCTAAATCTAACCTTATTCAATTAGTTGTAATGTGGACAAGAATATTTGAGAGGCATATAAAAGCAAACTAAAATCTCAAATAACAAGTCAAAAGTGCCATAATTTATCAAACTACCTTAGATTGGTAAATTGTAGAAAAATGTTCATACTAATAGTTTGGCATGAGAATGATTAATTCAGTCATTAGAAAAATCTGGGCTCCAATCTGATGTCTGCCATTTGGACATATTATCTTCTCTGGGACTCAATTTCCATCATCTATAAAATTGGAGGAAAGACTAACAAACTTTCAAGGTCACTGGGATTAAATGGGGTAGCAGTTATAAAGTACTGGCATACAATAGCTGTGTGCTTGTAAATCAGTTTCCCCTCCCAGACATTCCAATAAAATGGAGTTCTTAAGAGCTGTTATTAATGGAGACCAGCATGCCCACACACATGCTCAATTTGGGCCACATACTGTTTTATTTTTTAATTTGAATTGTTTGACAACACAAAAATTAAAAGAGTTCTAGAAAATTTGGATTTCTAGTTTCTCCTAGACCTTGCAAAGTCTGGGAGCGCCACAGGAGCAGTGTGCCTGAACAGGGTGACTGTTTCTCCTCTTCTCCCTCCAATCTCCACCATTCTTTACTGTCCACCACCTGCTTCCTTCAGTCATGACCTGCCTGGCCCTAGTGAGACATTTGTGTTTGCAACATCCTATGAGAATGGAAATAGGGTTAAAGGATACAGTCATTGCAAGAGGGCTTGCTGAGGACACTGTGAGCTGGATATTGAAGGAGGATCACGGATATAGATAGAGTGTGTGCTTCATTGATTAAAGATGTGGATATGCATATGACTAGCCTTTGGTTCATTTGTTCAAACTCAAAGAGGAGGGCTCGTTGGTGTGCGCAGAAGATCAGCAATCGGTGTTTAGCTTGGCAGCATTGACACTAGCTCACAGAAATGGAGAATTAATGACAACACAAACTCAGCCTGTATTGGGGCCAACATTCCCATCACCAAAGCAAGCTAATTTCCAAGTCTGTAGGGTTAAAGGAGTATGAGCAAGAAAAAGACAAAGAGGGACCATTAGTGAAGTTGGCTAGGCATCTCTTTATAGATAGAACAAAAGAAAATATTGAGGCAATTATCTGCATAAAGCAGTCAAAAGCAAACCAAAGAAATGTAAGCAAAAAGTGGGCATTTTGCCTGAGTCATGGAACTAATTATCTCAATCCTCCACTTCAGTGTTCCTGGGGATACCTGGTCTAAGAATGCATTGCCAATGAACTGGCAGATTCAAAAGTAGAGAGAAAATGTGTTATTGTAAGCACAGCTGTGGAAACCAAGCTTGGTGCTATGTCTCTGTCTGTAACTTCTATTGAGAACATCCAAGCCATGACTCTGACTCTCAGATCAGCCTAGCTGACTGGGAGAAGGGGCTCTACAGAAAATGACTCATGATAGGTCTACATGCTGGTCAGAGGGGTCACACCTGGTTACTTTTCTAAGTCCTTGTAACTTTAACATTGTCATGAAAGCTATTGGTGATGATGTGCATTCTTCTGTTTAAAAATGTATCTTTTTGCAAAAACTTTCAGCAATAAAAAGGCCAACCTTTTAGTGAAAGCCTTCTGCATGCAAAGTATGAAATTAAAATATTATTATAACTACAGGCAAGAAAGCATTTGGATTATGTTGCATTTGGAAATGATAATAAAGATTACCCATATGTCTAGTGTTGCACCAGCCTTACGTGGCCTCAGCAATTACCTACTATGGTGGTGCGTACGCGATTAGGTGGCTCCTTTGAAAGTCTGCTGTGTCCAGAGGATTTACTACATGTAGATGCCATGTTCTTTCTAAATGCTACTTCCTTCTTAGACAGAATTTGAGTATAAACATATTTTTGATACTATGATGCCTCACTCTTCTTAAACCTTCTCACATTATACCTTCTCCTTCAACATCTTTAATTCTATTCTTATCTGTCTTGGGTGCATAGAACAACCTTCTTTTCTGCCTTTTACCTTGGTGGTAAAATCTTTAAAAATGGGTTTTGCCTGTTTATTTCTACATTCGTGTCCCTTAGGCTTTTGTGCCTTGTGTACTGGTATCTGTACCTTTAGATTATGAGTTTTTTTGTGTGTGGTTAATGGGCATGGGGCACAGGATAGATTCGAACTATGTCTCCAAAAGAATTGGACGTTTTTCTGCTATCTGGGCCTTTTTGCGTTCTGTTCCACCAACAGAGAAAGAAGTGGGGGCCCCCTACCACCAGCAGCGGGAGTACTTTTCGTTGTGCTCTGTGTGTGTGATAGAGGGGTGACAGTCCTTGATGGGGAGCTAATTTGGATTCATCTGGGATTTGGTTCAGTGTCATACTTGACCCTGATCCTTCTGAGGTGTGGACTCCCTGTCCTTCCCTGGCTTCCTGCCTCGCACCCTTCCCTTACAAGATCTGAAAAGTTGTCTACTTTTGTTCTGTAGTTTTACAATGTACCTTTTTCATTGACTCTCTGGTTAGTCCAGCATTGTTTGGCAAATATTTACCAGAGGGATCTTCTCTTTGACCCTGAGTGTGACAATTTGACAATAATTTAGGGGAAAAAAGAATTTTAGGAGCATGTTAGCAAATAAATTACATTTTATTTTATTGGAATCATTTTAATTTAGGAGTCCTGGTGTGGTGCTGTGGGTTAATGCCCTGGACTGCAAAGTCAGTCTGATCCACAAAGTCGGCAGTTCAAGCTTACCAGTCGCTCACTCCTTGGAAATCCTATACAGAGTTGCTATGGGTTGGAACAGACTAAACAGCACTTAACAACAACAATTTAACTTTAGTATGAGAAACATGACATCATGGTTTAGACTCTAAATTCCTAATATTGCTGCGGTTGCCTTGAGTATGGGCAGTGTTTGTCATCTCTGTATCACTCACTGATGCCTGGCCAAGTGTTCAACATGTAAAGGCATATTAAAGTATGAACAAATAGAATTAATTCACTGAGTTAGCCCTGAGCCCTGGTTATATACATGCCCAAACTCTTGTTTCCATCTGCAACCATGTCTATATAATGGACCTTTTCGTTCTAAGGAAACTAGCCAAGAAGCGGAAGGAGACGATGAGCAGCACCCGGCAGGAGATGACTGTGATGGTGAACTCAATGGACAAGAGCTACGCTGAGCAAGGCACTAACTGTGATGAGGCCTTCTCCTTCATGGACACACACAATCTGAATGGCAGGTGTAAGTGCACGCCTCTTTCTGCTCTCAACACACCTCCCTCATTGGCTGGGGTTCACAAAACTGAAACCTCCCTGAAAACTCTGTTGCAATGTGGGTTTCTCCAGCCACTGAAATATCCCTTAACATGTCTGTGTTCCCTGTGGTTGCTTAGCAAATGTAACAGTCTAAACAGTATAGGATCAATCAGAGAGCACAGGAAACCGGAAAGCCATTTCTGTAAAGACTTCAATAGCAGTGCCATGAAGAAGGCACCTGTTTCTCATCATTCTTGTGTGCTTGCCAGGTGTGGAATTACACAAGGGAAGCCTGTTAGAAAACAGTTCACTAAATGGTTGTAACAAGTTAATTGTTTATTTGCTTAGCTGACAGATTCTGCCTTGATTAGAGGACTATTAGTGACAATTAATACATTAAACTGTATTTCAACTTCCTGAATCCTTACATTTCATACCAGGTGTGTAAACCAAGCTCAGCTAATATCTTCTCATACTACCACCTGTGATCCAGGTAGAGGGCATTATTTTAAGAAACTAACAATTAGATTGATTGCATGAAGTACAAAAAGAATGCTCTATTTGTCCCTGATGTTCTTGCCAGAAACCAGAATTAAATCCCATAGTGTATGCCTGACTCTGTGGCTCACAGCCTTGCTGAGTTCAAGGGCAGGGTTTTTTCGTTATCCATGGATTACCTCTAATCCTGGCTATGTAATCATCATGTTGGTCAGAATGAGGTGAAATCAAAGTGTAGTTTTCACTGTTACTGAAAATACGAAATGCTTACAGACTGGGGGACCCTCATAACTGTTAGGAACAGAATCATTTTTATGATGCACAGGCACAGTGACAGTCACAGAAATAGCTTCAGTATCAGTTTGGACAGTATGTGTGTGGGTCCCAACCAACACAGGTGTTCTGTCCTCTGGCAGTGCAGCTCTGCCCCAATGCTTTCTTCTTCTCTCCAGACAGCGCACAACAAGACACATGACTCCTCGGGCCTCCGTGTCTTTCTGACACTCAACAAGACTTTATAGAGTTTAGTCTTTTTTTTTTTCCTTACACTGGCTCCAGTTGTCCCACCTTATCCTATGTAGAGGACTTCTATGCACACAGAACTATGAAGCCCGTGTGCAGCGGACCCTGTGTCGGGGCAGATGGGCAGGACATACTCATCCTTCTCTTTGCTGGTAGATGTTCTTGGCCTTTCGTGTCACTCTCTGTGTAGAGTAAAGAGGGCATGTGCCTCAGTCGGACTCATATTATTCCCCATTTCTTCATATAATTCTCTCTTCGTTTGTATCACAGATACTATATATTTTTTTTTCATTTTAAAAATATACATGCAATATTTCCTTGCCAAAATAAATCAACTGCTGATGCATTTTTTTGTGGGCTAGCCTGGAGATGTCCTCTCCGTCACATTCCAGATTTGAATTCTTATAGTACCAGCTGTACTTCATGAATGTACATGAAAGGGACCACACAGATGGATGATACACTCTAAATTTTCAAGATAACCCGTTAATGTTCCAAATTTAATGATGAAATTTCTGACAAATTTACTTGCAGTGATCCACCCAGAGACCAGAAATTGACAGTCATTTCTCTGCTTTTGAAGTTTGAACAATCAGGGGTATTTGCCTCGGAACAGGAAGTTTAATTTGGCAGTTATTTCTTTAAAAAACTGAATGTATCCAGAAGTCCAGAAATGCTCATGCAAAGAACACTGCTTCAGAAGTTGGACAGCAGCTCCCATTGGTGATCTGCCTTTACACATAATTCTGTGCCTCTCATCAAGAAAGCAGTAGTGAAAAACACACAGTAGACTTTCAGTTCTCTTCCATTCTTTGAGCAATAAGTAGTCCTCTTCTCCTCTACTGGGAGTGACCCTGATGGAAACTTTTATCCTTATACTCTCCTAATGCATACAGTAGCCACAGTGATGTGGTAGTGCTTCCCACAAATACATTGGAGTAACTGTGTGTTACTGTCCTCCTCAGGAATTCAGCACCAGTAAAACTTAAACTATATCAGTGGATTCAAGATTTAGATGTAGATTTAATGCACTTGAGTGCATTTCTATCATTTATTCATTTACTTTAATGAAATTACTGTGGTTTAAAAAAGTAATAAATTAAGAAGTTGAAAAGAGCTGACAATTTTGTAAATAGGAAATATCCATTTTCAGTGGAGTAAGATAAATCAGTTGGGCTTGACTTTCCATATTAATAACATGGAGGAAGTTAGGGTGTAAGAGTTAAACCTTGACTATTTCCAAGGAATATTGAAAAGAAAAATAAGCCTTTTCATAGTACTTTAAAAGACTAACATGTAGGTTGTTGTTGTTAAGTACCGTGAAATCAGCGCCGACTCATAGTGACCCTGCACAGGGTTTCCAAGGCTGTAAATCTTTATGGGAGCAGAACACCTCATCTTTCTCCCGTGGAACCACTGGTAGTTTCGAACTGCTGACCTTGAGGTGGGCAGCCCGATTTGTAACCACTACGCTACCAGAGCTCCTTATGCACTTTTAATTCTGAATATAACATGCATGTCACATCACCTTTGTTTTTCATAACATTATGAAAAGTTCTCTAATATCCAAAATGTGAGGAAGGAGATGATTTCGCAAACTACCAAAATATTTGGTTTTCTTCAAGGAGAAGATTGATTTCTTCCCAGTAGCTGATATGTTACCCTAGATAGACACCTCATCAGCGTAGTCTTTATCAAGTAGGTGGAAATGTATGAAAGCCAAGTCCTCTAGCCCATTTCCTCAAGGAAAAGTTTCCAATAGTTATTTTGTTTTAAATTCAAATACCAGGAGATGAGCCCAGAAATATTAGAAATGTAGTCAAATCACATAATTACCAATGTACTTGCTGCTATGTATTTATGATAATAGAATATCCACTGACCAATTCTTTATAACTTTTAATATTCAGAATATTTTTGTGCGAATTAGCTCTATGTTGATAGTAGAATTCTACAGCCTATGTTAGTTGTCAAAATTGAGGTCTAATAAATTTCTCTATTTAGTGTAGGAAGTTTATTTTCCTCCTTTGTTGGGAAGGAAAAGTATTTCAGTGGTTAATGGCAATTGAAGTAACTATCCAGTGACAATTAGGAATAACAATATTTGTCATGTGGATCTAGTAAGTTTTCTGACACTTCTTCTTATCAGCAGTTTAGTGCCATGTGGGTGTCTCCCACTGGTGATTTTGGTATCTTTTTTACAGGGTAGGAGTCCTGGTGTGGCGCTGTGGGTTAATGCGCCATACTGCAAAGTCATTTGAACAGCAAGGTTGGTGGCTCAAGCTCACTAGCTACTCCTTGGAAACCCTATACAGGGTTGCTATGGGTCAGAACCGACTCGACAGCACTTAACAAGAATTTACAGGGTATTGCCTTTCCAGCCTCTGACTAGCCTTTTTTTTTTTTTTTTTTTTTTTTTTGCAGCTGTGTCTTCACCATCCTCCTTTACGATGAAAACAAATACCCTGAGCACGTCGGTGCCTAATTCTTATTACCCAGGTAACAGATTTTTTCGTTGTCTCCTTCTTCATAACCCCTTAGTAATCAGAATCCATCTCTGCTCACATGGTGCTCTAGGAGTTTAATGTGTTGGATGTGTTGTAACCCAGTGCTTTCTATAGCTCTCTATGGGGAAGTGGGTGGGTGGGGGGGAACTTTTATCAGCCATTTACTGTTCTTTCTCTTTTTACTTTCTCTGCATTGACCTGCTTATGATGTATGACAGATCCATTTGTGCCAACTGCAATTTTAGGTGAGAACATTTCCCTTTATCACAGTTTATTGCAGGAGTAATTTAGAAAGTCAGTGGCCACTCAGCAGGAGACGACAGTTTTACTTCTGTCTGATTCAGGCCATGGTGGGGGAGGGGGGACCTATGGGAAGGGACGGATGATAAAAAGACTTTCTCTAAAACAGTCTTCATCAATTAAGAAGGGTCTGTTGCATGTTTGTTGGGAATGATACCCAAGGGTTCAAACAAACAGTCCCAGCTCCAGTAGTGCCTCTTTTTATGTTTAGACTATAGAGTTAGGTCTGATCACATGGGCAAACACAGTGTGTCTGCACTGAGCTCGTCTCAGAGCTGAATTCTGCCCAATGTGATAGTTACAAAAGTGTGAAAATAGCTCCTCATTATTTTCACTTATTGCTAAGCACTGTAAACCTCAGTTTCAAAAATAGCATTTTTCTAATTATAACAAATGTTATACAGAAAAAAAATATCAAAATAGTGTTTTGGCCCCCTGTCCATCCTTGGAGTCACTCTGGGCAACACCCAGCATTCAGAAGTGTCTGTCAGACAGTGAAATTTCAAAGGAGCTGATGTTTTTGAACTGAGAAATGACAAGATGGCACTTTATAATCATATGGTTTATTCTGTGTCAGATGTCACTAGAAATGAAATAAAATGCGAGCCCAGTGGAGCGGAATGCATTTAAAGTATGAAATGTTCCCAGCAGGGGGTTAAAGAAAAAACTCCCGTTTGTCCAATATAAGGAGGGTGAAGAGAAATGGCATTACCTGGCTATGATAACAATGAGCATGAGCTGCTATTGCATCTGAGACGCATAAATAACCCGAGTGTATCACGGCTTGTGTTCTCTTTCTACTACTAACCTTACCGAAAAGGAGCACAACAAAAACGACTTCAAGGTATATACCAATTCATTGTAGCAAGAGTTCCATCCTCAGTTGTTCCACATTTTTTCCTAACTTCTTTACTAGGGTTTATATCTTTGCAATGTAATTTTTTCCCACCTGTGCTTCTCCTTTCTCTAAGTTGTTACGATTTTTGTAGAGTGGGAGTTTTTGTTTTGTTTTGATCTTTTTTCCCTTGTGGTGTTATATGGGTTTGTTGCCTAAGGGAGGGAAAAAAAAAAACAACTCAAAGGTTTTAAGAATGGACATCAAACAGAATGTTTTCATTTGCTTCATGTTGAGGACTCACTAGCAAAGACCATTAACCCCCTTCCTTCTTTCAATATCAACAATAAGGGAAAATAATAGTGCAATTTTTTTTCTTTTCATAATTGAGGGAAACAGCTACCTAACCATATAACCTATGTATACATGACATTTGCAAAATTGTCTGACAGACAAAGATGCACATTATCTTTGTGCACTGTGAAATTCATTTGCAGATCCCTAGATGTTCTGGCCTTGGTCCGGAGCAGGGAGAATGGGAAGAGAGACATACATTGTTGAAGGGAAGAAAATGTTCAGATTTCACAGCAGGATTAAGTTAAGCCTATTATACAATTCTGGAATCCTGGTGTGGCACTGTGGGCTAATGAACTGGACTTCAATGTCAGATTGCACTGTAAGGTTGGTAGTTCAAGCTCACCAGTTGCTCCTCGGAAACCCAATACAAGGCCACTATGAGCCAGAACTGACTCAACGTCACTTAACAAGGACAAATTATATAATTTTTAAATTTGTTGTTATGGACACTAAGGACAGCGATTCAAGTTGGGTAGGCACCTTTCATCATAGGAGCCTGTGCCGTGATTAAAGTGCTCATCTGCCAACCCAAAGTTCAACTGTTCAAACCCACCAGGCTAGGGGTCAGTAGGCTTGGTTTTCAGATCAGCTTCTTTACTGAAAGAGAATCACTTGAACAGATGATTGAAGTAGCAAAAATGAAAAATGAGTCAGCAGCTTGATAAATAACTGTGATCATATATAATTTGTATGTATATCAGTGTAACAAATGGTACTGCTTAAGAACTTTATTCCTTACATATTACTTAGTACAAATATGAATCTATATATAGTGTAATAAAGATTTGTGAGGTATTCACATGGAGCCACGGGAAGAAAATCAGCAGTATATCTACACTGGCACTATTTGGGGAAGGTCCTAGTTAGTTATAATTTACTCTTAGAAGTCAGCACAGTTAAATCCTCTAGGTACCACCCCTTTCTGTTCTCAAATGCTATGGTGCCAGCCTAAAGGTCTATATATTATCTTTGTTAAGTGCTGACAACTCCAACTCAAAGTGTCGCTGCATAGGGTTTCTGGAGGGTGTAAACATTTGCAGTAGTAGAAAGCCTCATCTTTCTCCCATGGCTCGAACTGCCAACCTTATTCATTAATACAGATAAAATTAATATCAAATCTAGATATAATTAATTTTCAGTTCTTGGAAAACCACTAGGACTTATAATGAGAAGCTCTATTTATGATTTCCTCTTAGAAGGCAGATTTTATTTTATTTTTTAGTATCAATAGGTATTTTTAAAATAAATACTGGAAATTAATCACAAGTTAGATTTTATCAGGAATCATCCCTTTTTTGGGAAGTCAGTAGAAACTTATCAATCACTAATTTTAGTACAACCAAAAATTCTAATAATATAGGTAACCCAATTTTCTAACAGATGTTATACAAGAAACTGAATCCCTCTTGGATATATTTGTACTAAATACCAGTGTTCTTTTCTTAGAAGGACTTAGCACTCTTTAAATGCTTTAAGAGTGTGTTCCACACTGGTAATGAGTCCAAGATGTCGCCATATAGTGGGGAACGACTACATATAGCAGTGACATGCTTTTAAGCTCTGTGGGTTTATAACTTCCAAGAATCCCCAGCCTGGGATCAGAGAATTGCTAGGTTGCTGGTTTATCTACGTGAAAGGCCCAAATCATTAAGGGGAAATTGAGAAGGTCAGTCACAATTGAGGGCATATTAATTATGTTCATCCCAAAAGGCACAAAACTGAGAGAAGGAGAGAGGCACAGAGGGGAAACTAATTAATGTTCCATTTATTTTACTATAAAGAACAGAACTTCTGCTGGAGTCACTAAAAGCTCCTCAGACTCAGAACTTGCAGGGAACCTGTGTCCCGGTGTATTTGATTGGCAGTTGCCAGCAAGCAAGTTTAATGTGAAAATGTCCAGCTTTATTTGCAACTGTTCCGACGGGAACATACAAATTGCTAAATTTCAAAGCAAATCTAAATGGGGAAAAAAAAATCATAAACTCAACTTGCCACCCTCTTTTATTTTGTCTTTGTGTCTTTAGCCACCTTGTGGTGATCCAGGTGTCATTTCAGCAACAGCCACACAGCTATACACTTGTGTGCCGCCTTTCATGCCATGCATCCCAGGGGCTTTGTGATGCAGATGGAAGTGAGGGCTCAAAACCAGGTCCAGCTAGCCAAGGACCCAGGAATTAAATTTCCTATGGAACTAAACTGAATACACATTTTAAAAAGCAGTAACCATAGCTGAATTCCCATTGATAAACAATCGGGTCATTTAAATATATATATATGAACATAATCATTTCTTGTATGTTTTGGTTCTTTATGTCTGAAATCAATTTTGATATAATGCTCTCATTTCAAGTGCCTTAGCATTGTATGTTCATGATACACACCCTCAAATCATAAAATGGCTAAAGGGATTCAGTATTTTAATGAGTTTAACCTGTAGAATGTGGAATTCTTAATTGAATAGCATTTTCTGTATAAGACTGTTTTAATAGCTACAATTTCTACAGTTCGTTAATCTAATTTACTAGTAGTCCATTAAAATAGAGCCTCTTTAGGCTTATTTGACCAAATTGTCACATTAATTTTGTAGTACAATTTGGTTGGCTTGTTCAAGACATTTAAACGAGAAAATATGTGAATACAAGTAAGACATATTTAGTTATTACTTGGTTCATGGGGGGATGAAGAGCAATTATAATACTAGTTTAGCATCCTTTTTTGTTATCAAATGCTTACACATCTCCATCCTAATGTGATGAGAGAAATGAGACTTTGCCCTCTGACCACCTGTGAATAGAAAACTTATTGTAAAATTAAAGAACAAATCAGAAACTACCTGTAAGTGTTCTCGGAGTACTATTGCTTATTCCCTGTTTCCTTTTTCTCCTCCTCTTTTCTCCTGATATGTATCTTCTTAAAAGTGCCAATCAATGGTAAGTTCCCCATTTGCCCCATGGAAAAGATGTGGAGGGGAGTGGGAGTGTGTGTCTGACCTATAGATTCTGACAAAGCCAGCTGGTTCTGTTGTATGTTGGCCTGCATGTTAGTTACTATAGAACATCCCACATGTGCCATGTTAGTCCACAGTATTTTGCTGAGCTTTATGATACAGGAGCATGCCAAGTTATTCATCAAAATGTTTTCCCCTGGCCAGATCCCCTTTTCTTTCTCTGCTTTGCTTTGATTCCATGTATTAGATCTACATTTTCATTGCTAGCTTCACAAGCCAGACCATTTTGTGCTCTTTCATTTTGCTCACAGCACATTTGTATAGAGTTGTTTTGTTTTTGTTTTGTTTTGTTTTCTACATCCTACAACACAGTTAACTGATCTGTGGAGGAAGGAACACAAGACTGGCTTCCCACCAGGCCTTGGTGAAGTTTCACAGTGAAACCTCTATAAACCGTAGCACTAGAAGGCTAACGGGCTCTTACCAATTAGCTTTGTGAAAGCAATATATCACCTGGACTGCTTTGTAAAAACAAAGATTTCTGCCTCATCCCAATCAGTAATGCCAAAAACATTGATGTTTCTAAACATGTAACTTTTCTTTTTTGCCAAGTCATCGTAGAGATGATTGCAGCTTTAATGTGAGGGGATCCCGCCTGCCAAGAATTCTCAGTGAGCAGATCTGACCCCGTTGGTTCAGCCTCACTTTCTCTCTGACCTTCTTTTCCCAGATGAAACCCACACGATGGCCAGCGACACCAGCAGCGTGGTGCAGTCACATACTTACAAGAAGCGCGAGCCAGCCGATGTGCCCTATCAGACCGGGCAGCTGCACCCGGCCATCCGCGTGGCAGACCTGCTACAGCACATCACCCAGATGAAATGCGCTGAAGGCTACGGCTTCAAGGAGGAATACGAGGTGAGCATGCCCTACCCCATAGTTGGGGACCCTTCCTGGACACAGCTACAGATACTGTGGTACCCAGGTCGTCCCAAAGTAACTCAGTGAGGAATGCCAGAATGGACCAGGTTCGTGGGCTCATTTCTGTGGAGTGGTACTTACTACCAAGAAGATAACATGTGTTCAACAGATACAGCACACTTGATGTTCTACCTTATTCTCCTTAATATTCAGCGAGAACACAGGGCTTCTAGGCTCTCTTATCTGTTCTCAGTTACCTTCTTAGGCTTTTCATGTAATTATGACGGTAAATATAATAATTTTGCAGGAAGAAACTGTACACCTCAACAATGATAGGCCAGCTTGTGATGCCATGCAGGGCTTAAACAATGCCAAGAATCTGACTAGTGCCGTGGTGTGACAGCTCTTATTGTCCTGCCAGCCCAGAGCTTTGCATGGGCAGCTTTCAGGGGCATTTCTAAGAATCATGACCCTGGTTGCTGTTGTTAGGTGCCCTGGAGTCAGTTCTGACTCATAGTGACCTACCTTATGCGCAACAGAATGAAACACCGCCCCAGTCTCCTTAAGTGTTGTTCTGTTTGAGCTCATTGCTGATGTCACTATGTCCATGCATCTCATTGAGAGTTTCCTCTCTTTTGCTGACCCTTCACTTTATCAAGCATGATGTCCTTTTCCAGGGACTGGTCCCTCCTGATAGTATATCCAAAGTATGAGAGACAGACAAAGTCTGGCCGTCCTGGCTTCTAAGGTACATCTGGTTACTTTTTCCAACACAGATTTCTTTGTTCTTCTAGAAGTCCATGGTACATTTGATATTCTTCTTCAACACCATAACTCAAAAGCATCAATTCTTCTAGTCTGCCTTACTCACTGCCCAACTTTAAAATTTGTATGTTGTTGTTATTGTTGTTAAGTGCCGTCAAGTCAGTTCCAACCCATAGCGACCCTGTATAGGGTTTCCAAGGAGTGACTGGTGGGCTTGAACTGCTGACTTTGCAGTTTAAACCAGCTTTGCAGTTCAGCGCACTACAACACCACACCAGACAGGACTCCAGAATTCATATGAGGTGGTTGAAAATACCATGTCTTCTGTCAGGGGCACCTAAGTTCTCAAACCTGATATCTTTGCTCTTGAACACATGAACGAGGTCTTGTGCAGAAGATTTGCCTAATGCAAAACATTGTTTGATTTCTTGACTGCTGCTTTCGTGAATGTTGTTTGTGGATCTAAGTCTTTAACAGCTTCGATCTTTTCTCCATTTTCCATGATGTTATTTATTAGTCCATAGAGTCCTGGTAATGTGGTGGGTTACCATAAGGTCTGCCAGCCACTCTGGGAGAAAAATGAGACTTTCTTCTCCCATTAAGATTTACAGCTTCGGAAATCCTACACAGGGTCTCTGTAAGGCAAAACCAACTCCATGTACATAACTACCTTGAACAGGATCTATTGGTCCAGTTATGAGGATTTCATTCTTTACAGTAAGATGCAATCCATACTGAAGGTGCTAGTCTTTTTATCTTCATTGGTAAGTATTTTAAATCCTCTTCTCATCCAGCAAGCAAAGTTTTATTATCTGTATGTCATAGGTTGTTAATGAGATTTCCGCCAATCCTGATGCCATGTTCTTCTTCATATAATCCAGTTTCTCAGGTTATTTGCTCAGCATACAAACTGAATAAATATGATGAGAGGATACAACCCTGGTACACATCTGTCCTGATTTTAAACTACTCAATATCCCTTTGTTCTGTTTTAACAACTGCCTTTTGTCTATGTATAGGTTCCACATGAACACAATTAAGGATTCTGAATACCTGTATTTTGCAATGTTATCCATAGTTTGTCATGATCTACACAGTCAAAAGCCTTTATATAGTCAATAAAGCACAAGTCCTGTGGTTTAATGCTCTGGACAGCAAAATCAGTTTGAACTACAAGTTGGTGGTTCAAGCTCACCAGCTGCTCTTCAGAAACCCTATGCATGGTCGCTGTGGGTCAGAACCAACTCAGCAGCACCTAACAACAACAAAAAACCATATTTCTAGTATTCTCTGCTTTCAGTTAAAATCTATCTGATATCAGCAATGATATCCCTAGTTCCATGTCCTCTTCTGAATCCAGCTTGAATTTCTAGCAGTTGGTAGCTGTTTTTTTTTAATTATCTTCAGAAAGACATCACTTGCTTGTGATGTTAATGATATTGTCCACTGATTTCTGTTTTCTCTTGTGTCTTCTCCTTGGAATGGGCACAAATATGGATCTCTCCCAATCAGCCACACAACTTTCTTCCAAATATCTTGGCACAGATGAGTGAACGCCTCCATTGCTGCATCAGTTTGTTGAAAGATTTCAATTTGTATTCTGTCAATTCTTAGAGCCTTGTTTTTCTCCAATGCTTCATTGCAATTTGGACTTCTTCCTCCTGTACCTTTAGTTCTTGACCATATTCCACCTCTTGAAATGGTTGAACATTGACCATTTCTTTTTGGTACAATGACTGTATTCCTTCCATCATCTTTTGATGCTTTCTGCATCATTCAATATTTTGTCCATAGACTCCTTCAGTATTTCAAGTAGGGGCTTGAATATTCTTCAGTTATTTCAACTTGAGAAAATCTGAGCTTGTTTTTCCCTTTGGTTTTCTAACTCCAGGTCTTTGTACATTTCATTATAATACTTTGTCTTCTCTAGCTGCCCTGTAAAATTTTCTGTTTTGCCCTTTTACTTCCTGATTTCTTCCATTTCTTTAGGATCTCTACATGGGAGATCAAGCTTCAGGGTTTCCTCTTAGACATTCATTTTTGTCTTTTCTTCCTTTCTGTCTTCTTAACTACCATTTGCTTTTTCCCAGTATGATGTTCTTGATGTCATTCTATAACTCTTCTGGTCAGTAGTGTCTAATGCATCAATTCTCTTCTTGAGTTGGTCTCAGAATTCAGGTGGGATATACCCAAGGTCATATTTTGGCTCCTGTAGACTTGTTTTCATTTCCTCAGCTTCAGCCTGAACTTGGATGTGAGGAACTTATGGTCTGTTCCATAGTCTGCCTATGGCCTATTTTGGCCAATGATACTGAGCTTTTCTACTGTCTCTTCCCACAGATTTAGTCAATTTGTTTCCAGTATTCCATATGGTGAGGTCTATGTATATAACCATCTTTTATGTTGTTTAAAAAGGTATTTGCAGTGAATATGTCATTGGCCTTGCAAAAGTCTGTCATGAGATCTCTAGCATCATTTGTATCCCCCAAACCCTATATTTCAAATATACTTCCTCTTTATTGCCAACCTTCACATTCCAATAACCAGTAATTGTCAATGTATCTTGAATAAATGTTTCATCAATTTCAGGCCGAAGAAGTTGGTAGAATTCTTCAATTTCATCATCATTGGTTTTAGTGGCTGGTGTGTAAATTTGAATAATAGTGGTATTAACTGGTCTTCCCTGTAGGCAGATGGATATTATCCTGTCACAGACAACATTGTGCTTCAAGACAGATCTTGAAGTGTTCTTTTTGACAATGAATGTCATGCCATTTCTCTTGAATTTCTCATTCCTGCCATAGTAAACCATATGATTGTCAGATTCAAAATATCCGATATCAGTCCATTTCAGCTCACTAATACCTAGTATATTGATTTCTAAGCGTTCTTCCAATTTTATAAGTTCCAATTTTCCAACATTCATACTTCATACATTCCATGTTCTGATCATTAATGGATGTTTGCAGCTGTTCCTTCTCATTTTGAGTTGTGCCCCATTAGCAAATGAAGGTCCCAAAAGCTTTACTCCATTCATGTCTATGGTCAACTCTATTTTGAGGAGGCAACTCTTACCCAGTTGCATTTTGAGTGCCTTCTTACCTTGAAAGGCTCATCTTCTGGCACTGTATCTGACAATAGTCTACTGTTATTCATAATGTTTTCAGTGGCTAAACATGCAGAACTAGTCTGGCTCTCCTTCTTACTCTGGAAGCTCTGCTGAAACCTTTCCACCATGGAGGACCTTGCTGGTATTTCAAATACTAATGGCATAGCTTCCAACATCACAGCAACATGCAAGCCACCACAGTAAGACAAGCTAACATACAAGTGGTGACGACAGAATCTTACTATATATAAAATGAGGACTCATTCCTTTCACAGCCTCTGTCATTAGTTAACAGCTAACTCTGATGAATAATCATTCAAGAACTGAAGAGTGTAAATTGAGAAATCTGGTTCAAAGAATCACACCATCACTGGGGTAAGTGGATGTGCATGTGTGGCCAGGTAGAGGCACTGGATTTCTTTTTACGCCTTATGAAAGTTAGTTCAGACACATTAATGAAGATAGAGTAATATGCTTACTCACAGAATAAAATTGGAATTATATACATGTATAGCTTTACAAATCTTAGAATGTGTTTCTTACCCTATATCTACCTAACTAGCGTATAGTTGAGAAACATCACATCTTGTCTGGAATTAGAGTACTTTTAAGGTCGATCCCTACCAGCCCTGTGAGTTTCAAGCTCTACTTCTTTCTCCTCTTTTGGGAACAATCTGATACTTCATTTTATGCCCCAGATACCCAGTCTTGGGTTTGACTATCTTTTCCAGCTCAGTCACCAGAGACTCATTACATCAGTCAACACAGCACCTTGTAACATGTTGAGCATGTCTTTCTATTCTTCCTCTAAGAATCGGTCTTTGGACCAAAGCAGAAAAATAGGCAGACCCACTTTTACTAGCTACCTTGTACATCTGAACAGCCTGCCAATGACACACCTCAATGCAATAAAACTGTAAAGCCAAGGAAATCAAAGCTATCCTTGCCTCACAGGTTTGATGTAAGTTCATAAAATATTTCCAAATGAAGATCTGTATTTTAGCAACCTTAAAACTCTTAGATTTACCTTTATGGTTTAATTTATAACTCAGTGAAATTGTCTGCCTTTGCATATTTCCTCATGCACTTTAAAAGACTAGCTTAGGAATTCATAGGATTAAGA